AGGCTGTGGTGGCCGGGAGCGGCCTCTGCACTCCAGTCTGGGCGACCGAGTGAGACTCCAGCTCAAAAAAAAAAAAAAATTGGTTTATTCATGGGTAGAGCTGAAACTCAGGCCCTTAGCGAATTTGACACTGATCGCATGATTTTTCTTTTTGAGTTGAGGTCTCACTGTGTTGCCCAGACTGGGGTGCAGTGGCACTCTCACGGCTCACGGAAACTCGACTTGCTAGGCTCAGGTGATCCTCCCTCCTCAGTCTCCTGAGTAGATGGGACTACAGACGGGCGCCATCACACCTGGGAAATTTTAAAAATTTTTTTGTAGAGATGCGGTACTGCTATGCTGTCCAGGCTGGTTTTGAACTCCTGGGCTCGAGCAGTCTTCTTGCCTTGGCCTCCCAAAGTGCTGGAATTACAGGGCTGAGCCACGGCGCCTGGACCGACTGTACAGTTTTTGAAAACCATTTCCTGGGGAATGTTGGGCTCCAGTACCTCCTTTTGCTGGTTCTTGTATTCAGAGATGGTGAAAGGCACATTCGGGAGCAAATCACTTTCTCTGTCTCGTGGAGGGAAGGTCAGAGGTGAGGTGGGTCCCACCATGCTGTGGTGCAAACATGGCCTTTCTACTTTCCTGACGATCCCTGGGGTGGTTGGGTTTGCCCTGGTCAGAGCTGGCACATCCCTTCAGCCGCTTTGCTTGTGCGAGAGCTCCCGTGTGAGCACCTGCTGTATGCACTGGGCAGCCTAGGTGCACCATCTCTTTCAACCCTTGCCACAAAACCCATTTTGCAGCTGAAGATGCTCGGGCCTGAGAGGCGCCACACTTGCCCGAGGTCGCAGAGTGAGCCAGCCCCTGTGCACCGGCCCTGAGTCGCCCAGCCTCTGCTCTTGGGAAGCGGGGGACAGCAGGATAAGGAGGCTGCATGAGTGGTTCCTTGCTGATTCTGCCGGGAGGCCACGGGAGAGGTCACCCGATGTGGATTCCAGAGCATCCGTGTCAGAGGGAGGAACGTCCTCTGCCTCCCTGCAGTTAGACGAGCCAGAGTCACGTGAGAACAGGGTTCTGGCACACACTGTGCTATGCAGGGGACCCTCAGGAAGGGCCCTGCTGGGGAGGTGGCAGGGGGCATTGCAGCCAAGACGACAAACCTGCAGGAAAGGGCCAGAAAAGGTCAGATCAAGGCAGCAGAGGTCAGTGACCCTGGGGAACAGACTGAGAGGGGCTGCCCAGGCAGGGCCATGCTGGGCCGAGTTCTGTCCTCTTCCCGGAGGTGGGGGGGTGCCCAGGAGGCTCAAGACTCAGGGTCCCCAGCAGGCCTGGTCTCCTGGGACTCGGGTTGTACCCAGCGGGCCTGGTCTCCTGGGACTCTGGGTCTCCAGCAAACCTGGTCTCTCAGCCTCCCAAAGTGCTGGGACTACAGGTGTGAGCCTCCGTACCCAGCCTCCCTGAGTATGTGCGGGGCCCTCCTTACCTGTCCTCATTCTCATCCTGGATCCTCCCTCCTCCGACACCCCCACCTCTCCGGGCTGCTCGAGTCTCTCCTCCCGTGTTGTCATTCTCCCTGTGCCCTGGTTCTCTGTGGGCGGGAGGGTCCCTTCCCCCTGGGCCACACTCTGAGCCTCCCTGTGTGGGAGACATGAGAGTGGCCCTCAGTCCCCACGGCCGTCGCGGGTGGACTGGGGTGCCGTGACGGCTCCTGTTCTCCAGGCAGGGAAGTAGGCCTGGCAGGGACACGACTCGTCCCTGGCCAGTGGCCACGCCCGGCAAGTGGCGCCCCGGGGGCATCGCCAGACCCCTCCTCCCTGGCGGTGTTGTAGCCTGCTGCGTGGCCTGCTGTGTGGCCCGTGTGCCCCTCTCCTCCTATCCTTCGTAGCTTGGGCTGCATCTTAGTGTCAGCGGGACTGGAGACGCCGACTCCGCCTACTCGAGAAGCTGAGGAACATTCTGGGTGGTAGGGGCCTCCATCGGCCTTGACCACCTCCTTGCGATGCAGGTCGGCTAGAGGCTGACCCACGGTTCTCAGGCCCCCACGAGTTCCCAGCCCCAGGGCCTTGCAGGACGGGGATTCCTCCAGGAGGCTCCTCCCTCACCCTGCTGGCAGCTCCAACTGCATGGAGCTGGGGGAGGACTACTCCCTGGAACCCTATTCCCATCTGACTGGGCCGCCGCGTCCTCGCGTCCAAGGAGCAGGGTCGCTCTCCCTCCCCAGAAGTCTCAAGCGCTCACTCAGGGTGGGAGCAGTGAGCCCAGTCGTGCTGTGCTGCTATGTGGGTGACCCCATAAAATAAAGGGCTAGGGGTTGGGGGTGGGCAGAGGGGCGAGCGCAGGGCCGCATGGGTCTCAGCCGATCCATCCTCTGGCTCATCGGCCTCTAGCCTCCAGTACCGAGGGCCTCCAGCACTCAGGGCGGGCTATTTTGGGAAGTGGCACAGGGCGTAGACCTGGCTCTGACACCCCCTCTTCCCCCTGAGCGGTACAGAGGAAAGCCACTCCCCTAGATAAGCCAAAGGGCACTGGGCAGGCCGGCCTCCGGGAGGAGAGGGTGCGTGCAGGCTGGCAGGGCAGGACAAGGAGTCCGCGGGCCGCGGGGGCACCTGGCCTTTGCGAGTTTGGCTCCAGGCTCCAAGCTCAGCCTTTTTCTTTGATTTGTAAGAGTTGTTGTGTCATAAAAGCCAGAGGATGGACACGGCCCCGGCAGGGATCCCACGTGCCTCAGTTTCCCTAAGGACTCTCCACCGCCTGGAGATTCATGGTGGAATCCCACACTAGACTTTCCCCCACATTTTCCACTTCTCGAAGTTGTGTTTTAAACTTATGGTAAAGCATGTCACCTAAAACTGACCATTTAACCCCCTAGGCGTCCAGCTCAGTGGCATTAAGTAGGACAGCTTTGGTGGCTGTAAGTTGGGTGGGGGCTGCGCCTGCTTCTGGTGGGTGGAGGCCAGGGATCCTGCCTCACCCCATGGTACCCAGCCCAAGAGAACCTGAGGGAGAAACCCTGGCAGGAAGAGCCCCCTCCTGTGACACCCCCAGTGGGAAGCGGGTGTGCTCTCCAGAGGCCAGCTCCCCTTGTCCCTGTGCTGCACTGGGGGCGACTGGCCCAGAGGAGGGGCTGGTCACTGGAGGCCGGCGGGCCCACCTCCCCACCAGGGCATGGCTGTCTCGGCATGTCGCCTCTGGCTCTCCGTTGGCCTGGAATTCAGACTCCCAGAGCGCTTCTTAAGGTCCTCACTGCATCCCCTTCCCCCAGTGCGCCAAGAGTATCTGGGCTGAGAGCGGCTGTGACAGGAAATGGATATCAAGAAGGAACCAGGAGCCAGGCACGGTGGCTCACACCTGTCATCCCGGCACTTTGGGAGGCCGGGGCAGGGGGATTGCTTGAGCCCAGGAGTTTGAGACCAGTTTGGGCAGCACAGAGAGACTTTGTCTCTACAAAAAATATCCAAGTATTAGCCGAGCGTGGTGGCACCCCCCTGTATCCCCAGCTACTAGGGAGGCTGAGGCAGGAGGACTGCCTGAGCCCAGGAGGTCGAGGCTGACGTGAGCCGAGATCGTGTGACTGTACTCTAGCCTGAGCAACAGAGCGAGACCCTGTCTCTAAAAAGAAGACTAAATTAATTGAAATTAAAAAATAAAAGTCAAAAGGAGCTGAAGAAAGGGAGGCTGGCCTCTGTGCCAAGTCTTCCCGGAGGAAGAGCAGAGACTCGAGGCTCAGTCCCCACCCTCTCCTGCGAGGCCAGAGCCAGCCAGACCCTGGGCACGGCCAACCCCGCCCCAGGTGGCATTTCCTGCTCCGGCGGGCAGGCCAGTGAGAAGCGTCCCGCGAACAGCAGGTGCCAGCCCCAGATTCCACGGTGGTGGTGGCTGCTCCGTTTCCAGGAAGAAACAGAGCCAGGGCTCGTGGGCTGGG